TTGTATTGTTCTGGTAAGTCATTAAGTGACACACATTAACATTTTTCTTGACTCACTACAACTCTGAACACGCTGCGAAGGAGAAAATACCAACAGCAGTGATTAAATATTGATACCGTAGCAGCAAGAAGTAAAAGGCCTGAAAGTGGCCACACTGTCCCCACTTTATTTTTATTTGTATTACAGTCTTGGCTCCTTTTTTTGTATTTTATTTTTTTGAGTTTTTCAGTGTTATTATACATCCCTGGGCAGACAGCAGCCCGGGACGTCGGTACTCATCGGTGACTCAGTGTGCGAGGGACGACGGTGCCAACCTGGAGCCGACAGGGAGTGCTAATTGTGTCTGAGTCTGGACTCCAAAGCATGACTCTGGGAAATCAAACGGCACAAACCAGTTACTGTGTGTTCTCTGGCTGCTTACCCAGGACAGCTTGTCCCAGGACTCCCAGCAAACTATCACAAACTGTAGCTATGATCTTTATTGTTAGTAAAGTAAGTGGGTTTCACTTCCTCCAAACTTTAATTTGCTTTAAAATACATGCTTTTTGAATAAAATGTGCTGCTGAGTGGTGTCTAAAAATGTGGGGCGTTGTTTCCTGAGTGAACGCTATACGGTATCATCTCCACACTCTAATAACTCTAAAGGAGTGATTGGGGCACATGGATTCATGTTAATGTTTCTCTTCATGTCATTAAAACTCTGAGAGACTCAACACACCCTAAAAAAAATCTAATTAGAGTCAGTTCTCATCTCCTTGCAGCACGATTTGTGATTAGCAGGATATTGTAAATATGTCCGGATGCACAGTGTCTCGCCACCGCAGGTTTTATCAGCTCTGATAAGAACCGTCTTCTGTCTGGTGAAAGGGATGATGGGATATCCGTCTGCTGTGACCTTCCAGGTGGATGTTGGTCTGAGGGTGAGACTTCCCTCATCTTTTGTAGAATAAAGTAAGAATGTAAATGCATTAAAGTCACGTAAAATACAAAAATTTAAATTAACAAAACAGTTAATTAATTGTTTTTATCATTAATTAATTTGCGTGGTGGCAGTCGAGCCCTTTGTCGAGCAATTCCGCTCAGTATGAAATAATGCAAAAGGATTTTTGCAGATCCAGTTATCCCTGGGGGTTTGACGTCAGCCTCCTCTTGTCAGAACAGTGTGTGTGTGTGTTTGCGCAACTCGACTGCGTCAAACTGCTGAACTGAAATGCTCTGACATTTAGACAAAAAAACGCCCGAACACATCTTGCACCTTCTTTTTGCACAAACTGAAGGAATTCACCTGTGCTTATTGATTAACTCATTTGGGTGGATGCATTTGAATGAAATATTCCAGTTATGAAAAACAAAAATCTAATGGCTGTGACGATGACACGGCAGTGCAACTCTGTAGACAAATAAATGTCAGTAGAAGTCCTGTTCCATAAGTATGAGTCATTGTGCTTTGGAGCGCATTAGCGTCGATGTGCAGAAGAATATTTCCAAAGTGTCGCGGCTACTTGTTAAATGTGACAGCTCCCCCTACTGCCAAGATGTGGGATCACAGCAGAGACCCGCATTAGCTGTGACTGAGCATGAATCAGTTTCCCCCCTCCTCCCCCCCCTAACAAAATGATGAGGGAATTATCAGCGCCCCAACATGCTTGGAAAAAACACATGAAGCACTTCACCAAGAGGCTGGTAATACATGGAGTGAGTCTGAGAGTGTGAATGTTTGTGCCCTGAGGTTGATGCCGGGTGGTGGTGGTGGTGGGGCAGGGGAGGCTAAAATCGGGGGTTACCATGGAAACCATTGTATTTCCCTCCCCTGTGATTGGTGCTGCTGGCATGAGCAAGTATCTGCTATTTCTGTCTTTATTCAACTCCTCAGACACGAGCACGGTCACAGGACACACACACACACACACATACACACACATAGAAGTTGCAGAGCCGAGCGTTAACAAACACAAACAAAGACTCTTCTATGCGCAGCTTCCTTCTTGAAAAATGCCCCAGTAGTATTGCTGTCATCACAGCTCGGTTTATTATAGAGTAAGCTCTCAGGGCATTATTTATCATGTTGTGCTTCGGTCTCCTCTAAAAATGGTTTTAAAAAACACATTTTGGGGCAAAAAATCATTATCAGATGTTGTCTCTTCTCCCCCTACGGATCATGTGAGCGACTCCTGATGGTCAGATTTTACCTGCTGCACCCGAAAAACCAACAGTGAGAAAGTGACAGTGAAGCAGCCTTTATGCAAAGACATTAATTAGATCAATAGATGAACGTGTGCTCAAATTAGCAATTGATTTATCAGGAAAAAGAAGCGATGACTCATAAGCTAATCAGAGTTGACTTGCAGGGATGAATGAATCGCTCAGAATACATGAGAGAGAGATGTCACATGTGCGCACAATCCATTCATGCGCATCCTGATTTCAGAGCATCAACTGAGTTAAGACAACATAAAAATAAGGCCCATTTATACACACAACAAAGGGGATATTCACAGTTAAGTACCATAATGGGATAAAGGAGTAGAGTTGACAGATTTAACCACCGCCGCCACCACCATGTATCACAAGCTTACTTCTTGTGTCTAATGCATGTTGTTAATCAATCATTTGATGTTGCACTATTCCCCAAAGGATGATTCACAGACAGAAGCAACAACAGAGGATCATTGAAGACGCAGCGACAAGTCTAAAAAAAAACAACCCCAAAGCGTATATAAAACACGTAAATTACAAAAAGGATTTTCATCCTAATCATCACATGAATGCTGTATTTACATGGCATGGTGGAGACATGGACTGCACTTATATAGCGCTTTTCTACCTTAGTGGCACTCAAAGCGCTTTACAATGTGTTTCTCATTCACCCATTCACACACACATTCATACACCAATGGAACTGCCATGCAAGGTGCTGCCTGCCATTGGGAGCAACTTCAGGTTCAGTGTCTTGCCCAAGGACTGTGGAGGGGGGGGGGATCGAACCACCAACCTTACAATCAGAGAACAACCGCCCTACCACCTGAGCCACAGATGAAGATGAATCCAGTAACTACTTAACCTTATTGTTTTTATAGTTTTTGATAACTGCCAAAATGACAGTGTATGGTCAGTAGAATTATTGGTCTTTTTTGTTTAGTTAAAAGTTTGTGTGACATTTCAGGGAGACCCACTAGCAGAGTGGTTAGGGTGCACACCATATGGGCACGTATTTCCCATGAAAGCCATAAATAAATAAATAAATACATAAATAAATAAATAAATAAATAAATAAATGCCAAATTTCAAGAGATTCCATTATGTAGGCATAAATTGAGAGAAGTGCTACATGCTACAATTGTTGTATAATAGAGAAAAAGTGATAAAACTCTTGATTCTTTCAGTGTAATTGAAGAATTCAAAACTTTATCATCTAATATTGTTCTTATTGGTTTTCTGCTAACACTTGGTACAATTTATCAGGTTATATGTTGACTTCCTTATTGTGTTTTATATGCAATATCTAAAATATATGTAGTGTTGAGCATTTGTTCAAAACCTAAAGATATCCATCCATTGTCTACACACCGCTTAGTCCTCACTGGGGTCGCAGGGGGCTGGAGTCTATCCCAGCTGACTCAGGGTGAAGGCAGGGGACACCCTGGACAGGTCACCAGTCTATCACAGGGCTACACTTAGAGACAGACAACCAAACACACTCACATTCACACCTACGGACAATTTAGAATCACCAATTAACCTCAACATGCTTTTGGACCTTGTGGGAGGAAGCCAGAGAACCTGGAGAGAACCCACGCTGCACGGGGAGAACATGGAGACTCCACACAGAAAGATCCTGGTACCTCCACCAGGAAGCGAACCGGCGACCTTCTTGCTGCGAGGCAACAGTGCTAACCCACTGCGCCACCTTGCAGCCCTAAATAAAGCTAAAGAAATTTAAAAAAAAAAGAAAGCTCAGCCCTTGTCACTGGTTTTCTTCTTTTCTGTGTTTGTCTGACGTTACATTTGTTGTTTCTCATGCTGTCTGACTGCTCTCAGGTGTCCATAATAACTTAAAGCTACTATTTAAATAATATGGAGTTGAGACATTGGAAAAATACCAATCTAATCCATTTAGCACTTCCTGTCACACACTCCAGCAGTAAACAAACTCGCTCCTGACACAGCCTCAGTGAATGGAATATGTATATTGTGTGGGCCGGGCTGTTGTAAATGTTAATCTCAGCTCATTAACATTAACCACTGAGATTCTTTTCTTCTCCACAAATCAATAATCCAGCCTCGTGAAAGGGCTTTTGCCGGATTGAGCATCTAGGGGGGGGGGGATCTTGGGTGAACTGAGCGTGAGGAGACAGAGAATTAGAAGAAAAAAAAAGAAGCTGATCCTTGGGATAAAAGTGATTTTCTCTCCTAATTGTTTTGGGTTGCTCCTGTGCCTCTGAGTGGGACCTGCAGTCAGAATATTGGTAAGGGGTGAACAGGCATAAGCATCCCTCCATGTGGGAGACCTGAGGCGGCGAGGCACTAAGACCCAGTGGAGAGCAGGGGAGGCTGGGAGGCTGCTGCCCACCCGCTGCCTGTCTGCTCTGCACGGCTCTGCAGTTGCTCTGGGCGCATGCCGGAGTCAGTACATGAGTGTATGGAAGTGAGTGTATGTGAGAGAGTCCAGCCTTTGTGCATCACACTCTGGAAGACAGAATCCCTCCCCTCTTTTTAATTTTTTCATTCTTATTCTTGTCTCCATCCCTGACTTCTGCTCCTGCTCTGCCTCTCCCACCTGGACCGGAGGGCCTGGCTTGGAGGCAGCTGAGAGGTGTGTGCTGTGCATTTGAAGGGGGGAGTGGTGGTCAGCGTGATGACGAGATGAAAGGGGCCAGGTGAGGAGGAGACACAGGAGCTCCCCTCTCCTCTCTCTCCCCCTCTCTCTCCCACTATCTCTCTCTCTCTCTCTGTGTGACGTGGTGTGTGTTTGCTGTTTGTGTGGGAGAGAGACAGAGAGAGAGAGAGAGAGAGGGAGAAGGAAACAGGTCGGCTTTGCTTCGGCAGACTGTGAACCTGCACAGGAGGAAGCAGCACCTCTTCGGGCTGAGGTATGTCACACACTTCTCATCACATTTCCAGCCGTGCCTGCCCTGTTTGCAGACAGTGTGTGTTTTATGTGGAAGTTGGGATGCTGTAAAGGTGAGGCAAGACTCCAGATACAGGGTGTTCTTCCATCATCACCTCAGCTTTGCGGATTCATGTGAAAGGACAAGATATCTGGAGACTTGTTTTGTAAAAATCCCTGTTTTCTGTTTGCATGATGCCTGCTGAGGGGCTGAAACTGCTTTGTAATGAAAGGGACACTTGAACAACAGGCTAGTTCTCTCCTCGCAGTAAACACAGTGTCATGTGCATATGATAGAGTCATATGGTTTGCACTCAGCAGTCGGAGAGATTCCGCACAACCTCATATTGTTGTATGAATTTTTTTGCATCTTTTTGAAGCAGAATTTAAACATGAATTACACTCCTGACATTGATTTGATTATCTGTAGACTGTGCTGAATGGGACTCACTGCTTCCTTCTCTCTGTACTTGAATAGTTCTAGTTGTGCGGCTCAGGCTTGACAGAATGGCGATGCTGCTTTGAGAGTGTAAACCACTTCACTTTGGGGAGTTGCGGTGATAATATGTTTCCTCGAAACAATCAATGCTGATTAGACTAAGAATCCCCCAGAGAGCTGCTCCGCGGTTCCACAGTTGAGACGCTGTTTATGGGTTATTTAATTGGGCTGAAGGTGACTGTAACCCTTTGACCTATTCAGCAAAGGCCACCTACTTACGTCTGTCAGGTGATTGTTGTGCTTGATGTGCAAACGTGGGCAGCGAAAGAAGAGGCGCCTCGCAGGGATGAAGCCTGTCACACTTGTGAAATGGAAAACTTGCACCTGCAGGTGTGCAGCATATGGAAATGTACCAAAGGCTTGGTGCTCATTCCACGGCTTTTACAGTGTGTGGGGTTGTGTCCAGGTGAGGTTATGACAGTAAACACAGCACAGGGCCTTCTCCACTTGCAAACAGTGATGCTCACTGCTGAAGGTGCTCTGCTGCTGTTTATGTGTATTTAAATGAAGCTGCATAGTTTCCATTCAGACTGACTTCCTGCTCTGAATCCCTATCTGTGTTTTGTAAATAAAATCATAACGAGCGTAACATTAAATATTTTTCGTGTCAGGATTGCACTAGTATGAGAAGCACTGATCGATCTTTTCCTTCCATCACTTCAGACAGCATGGAGCTCTGTAATGCTGAGTTTTGCAGTTTATTTGCTCATCTAGTTTTCCTCTTCGCTCTGTTAAGGGGGACATATGGTCCACTCTGTGCTTTTAGCCTCTCCCTGGGGTGCAGGCTGCCCTGAAAACACACATCTGAGGATGCAGATGTCAAATACTGTATGTAGAAAATTATGACCCTTTCTACAAGCGAGTGCAGACTGCATCAAGTCTGTAGCTTTAAAGCTACAGCACAAGAGCAACACAGCTTTGTCAGAGAAAGATTCAGTAGCAAAAAAAGGATAATATTCAGACTCTTTGAATTGCTTGTGATGATTGCAAGAACATTAGAATAGATAAGTTTTTAAGAGTTTGAACAAAAAACATGACTGTTGGTTTTCAGGCTGCCAAACTGTCAAAATTCTATGAATTCTTTACCGTAAAGTGTATTTTCAGCAAGGGCTTGATCATACAACTCTCCCTCCATCAGTTTGTGCCTTTTATGGAGTACTGTGCAAAGGCACTGAAGGTAAAGCGTGAATATTTTTAGCAATAATGCCATGCATAGTTTTAATATTTGGTGTGCCTTTTTCCTTAAAAGCAGCTGTTCTTGTTGGTACACTTTTCTGTTTAGCTGGCAGGTAGGCTGTTTGAACGATCATGGAGAAGTGGTCACAGCATCTGTTGCATAACTTCACGTTCTTTTTATTTAGTTCTAAATGACTCTGGCTGTATGTTTGGGGTTTCTGTCAGGCTGCAGAGTGAGTGTAAGATTAATCAGACATTTTCCTGGTGGCGTGATGCATAATGATTAAGAATTTAAACATCTAAAATGACTGAAACTTGTCCAAGGTTTCAACTTAAGCAACTAGTTTTAGTGTTGGTCATTGTTAGATTTCATAATGCAGGATTTTCCCAAAAGTCTCAGTCTCTAATGTTCATCCTCACCAGTGCCTGACTAATCAGATTATCTCTTTTGTTTCAGATCTTTCCAATTCAGCAACATCTTTGGAGAGAGGAGGACGTCTTCGCGAAAACTTGCATTTTCGAGGACGTGACTGAAAGCTTGTGCGATCGTCTGCGGAAGTGTGAGCCGTGGTCTATGGGGGTCAGGGCCTGTACGATGACGGACACCACCGCCTGAGCTTCTCTGTGACACCCTACGACGGGGGAGGATGGGTGATGGGCCCGTGAACTTCAGCGGACTCTCTCCTCTTCATCCCATCCTCTCATGGAGCGTCCTGTCACACCGAGCCCCTCCTGGAACACTTCTCTCTTGCCATTTCCAGCCTCACTGCAGCCAAACTTCTCGAACGTTACCCTACCATTTCCAATAATCCGAGGTGGGATAGATGTGAACCAGTCGTTGGCGCTGTGTGCTATGCTTGTCATGGACATGCTGGCAGTGGTGGGGAACTTGGCTGTGATGGTTGTCATCACCAAAACACCGCAGCTGCGCAAGTTTGCCTTTGTTTTCCACCTCTGTCTGGTGGATCTGGTGGCGGCACTGGTGCTGATGCCTCTGGGGATGCTGTCAGACCGAATCCTGGTAGACGAGGGGCTCTGTCGGAGCTACCTCTGCCTGAGTGTATGTCTAGTGAGTGCTGCCATCCTCACCATTTGTGCCATCAACGTGGAGCGCTACTACTACATTGTCCACCCAATGCGTCACGAAGTGAAGATGACAGTCGGGGTGGTGGTGATGGTACTAGTGGGAATCTGGATTAAAGCTGTTGTTATGTCAGTGCTGCCTCTGATGGGGTGGCTGCTCCAGGGGACCCAGAGTCCTTTGGTCCTGGTTCCCGGTCAGAGACACTGTTCCCTCCATTGGACAGGAGGCAGGACCACACGCCTGCTTTTCATGATCTTCTTTACGCTAATCTATTTTCTGTGCCCCATGCTGATCATTCTGGTGGTCTACTGCAACATGTTCAAGGTGGCCCGAGTAGCAGCCATGCAGCACGGCCCCCTCCCCACCTGGATGGACACGCCACGGCAGCGGTCCGAGTCTGTCAGCAGCCATTCCACCATGGCAGCCAGCCTCGGAGGAACTGGCGCCCGCACCACCCCTCAAAGGACCTTCAGCGGTGGGAAGGCCGCCATGGTTCTGGTGGCAGTGGGAGGCCAGTTCTTCTGCTGCTGGCTGCCATATTTCTCCTTCCATCTGTACTCGGCTGTGGTGTCTACCTCCCCTTCCTCGCTGGCCCAGCTGGAGGACGTGGTTACATGGATTGGCTATTTCTGCTTCACATCCAACCCCTTTTTCTACGGCTGCCTGAACCGGCAGATTCGCGAGGAGCTGGGCCGCCACCTGGCTTGCCTCTTCAAGCGGGCCGGGTCCGGTGAGGGAGAGCAGCTGCCCAGCCGCGAGGCCTCTATTGAGGAGAACTTTTTGCAGTTCCTTCAGGGCACTGGGTGCAATCTGGAGCCCTGCAACTCTCACAGCAGAGCCAGCCCTGAGGATCCAGAGACTGAGGGCCTTCAGGAATCAGCTGTTCAGCAGAACATGCCAGCTGACTTCCACATCCCAGGGCAGATCCTGGAGGAAACCTCAGAGTTCATGCAGCAGCAGCAGCTGAACAATGAGCTCCATGTATCAGAGAACTGCTGCAAAACTGTACCAGAGCTGTAGCTGCCTCATGTACTGTCTCTTTTGCTGTCTAATAATCCAATAAATATACTTAGTTTTATTCATATTTTCTAGTATTCGTTGAATTGAAACATCTCTTGTTTGAGCAACGACATGCTTTAAAGCTGAAAACACAATGAACTGCGAAATGTGGTGTCTAGAAGTTATGTAGCTCTTCAGTGAAAGACAATTGAATTTATCATCTCGTCCCCAACAGTTGCTGCACTGCAGAATGACACGCTCTGAGCGACGTATGGTGTCATACAATTACACAAACACCAAACCTTTGTTGTGTTAATCACAGCATAGTGAAGCCACAAACATTCAGAAGTGTTGAAACTTTGTAAGAGCGAACATCAGAGGAGTTTCCTTAGTTTGTTAAAAACAATAGGAGCCATTCAAAGGAACTTTCATGGACAAATTCTCAGTGACCGTGTCCGGTTTAGTTTTGATATGAAATTCCAATACTGATTCACTTGTTCATCCCTCATTAAAATTCTCCATCAAACCCAAAAGGACAATGTACAGTATACAATTGGTTACGACACACTGTTGCTGTTACATCAAGCATACTGCGCTTCCATCTGCGTCTTTGTCCCAATAATTATTTGCTTAAATTCAATTAGAGGACAAAGTGTTCCCTCAGTTCAAAGTGACATAACAGATTCTGACTAATTTAACTCACAATCTAATCATTAAGAAACATTAGAAGCATAAAGCATCTTCCTAGTTGAGTGTTTGAATAACTCACAGTCTTTGAGTAAAGATTGTGAGTTGTTGTAGCCGTTGGTTTGTTTAGTAAAGAATGGACCCGTTTTCATGATGTACTTATTCCACTCGCACATACCACCAAGGAATTAATGCAAAAATGTTCCTCAGTAAAAAAGGAGTGAAAATTCAGAGCTAAAAAAAGTCTCTCAGTTAGAAACATTCATTGTGTTGAACAGGATCATTTCACAGCTGGTGCTCTTGGTGGTATTTATAATAAACAGGCTGACACTGTATTTTTAACCATTTTCCAGGAACATTATTATCATGTTTATCTGTTCTTAGTCTTGTGATTATCACCTCCTCGCCAAAATCGTCTCACATTGGGAGACTCGTGATATCAGCCCCCCTTCCAATAACAGAAAAAACATTGTGACTGGTTTAATTTGTCTGATCGCGGTGGTGTTCAGGGTTTAAGCTTTAAAAAACATCGACCGCAGCGCATTAAAACTGTTGAAACCATGCTCGAGGTGAACAGACCCGGACGTCGCGACCGGTCTCCCCCCGCCGTCGCCCCCGTGATGTCTGCCCTGTTTACAGGTAAACACAGCAGCAGTGTGAGTGCTCCTGTGTTTGAGCAATAAACAACCAGGCTTGTTGTGGCTACACACACGGCACACAGGTGTGACGACGCTTACACATGGAAAGCTTCGCCTTTGGCCTCATTCAGCAGCGCCGGCGATGACACTTTCTCTGATCTCAGGTGGAATACAAATAAGTTTGCACAAGTCACACAAGCAGTGACAAATGTTCCAAAGAAAATCAAAAGGCACAAATCTCGTACTGAACACTTCTTCTTTTTTTTGAGGGGCGGTAGATGGGGTGTCTCTTTTTATACTTGCTCTTTCTTGCTGCCTTTATCTATTTTGGACTGCCTCGCACAGGACGGTGATCACAAGACACTCGACACATGGGGAAGGTTCAGAGTTTTGCTGGGAGTCAGAACAAACAAAAAAAAAAAAAGGCCCTTTGTCAGGGGGAAAGACATAATGCTCTTAATTTTCTTGACTTTGTTTGCAGACTGTTTTGCAGAAAGCGTTGTCATGTCAACTTAATTTGAAATGTTTCCCTTGCACTCAAGTTCGGTTCGAGTCAACAATGAGATTGAATTACCGCTGTGATCCTCAGTGTTCTCCAAAGTATGTGCGTTGTTAATTTAATATTGGTGAAACTACAAAAATACTATTACAAAGTGTTATGTAACAAAATTACATAAAACTGCCTTGATCTATTACACCAGCGTCCACAAACAAGGGGTTAATCTCTTTAGCTCATCTGATATCTTCCCCATTATTCATTATTTACTTTCTATGGCACATGCTGTAACAAATTCAGTGATATTTCACACTCTGGGGTTATTAAACAGCCCCGTTGGCTGAGTGTACATCAACCCACTATTCAATCAGCTGGATTTCCATTACTGTAGCAGCAAAATTGCCCTGACCAATCTCATTAAATGCTTTATTTCTGTGACCATCTGTTGATTACAACTATGGAGAAATAACCTGTTGTGAGGGTGAAAGGCAGATAATAATGTCAGCTTCAGGAATATTCATGGACGTTGTTAACTGCCGGTTTTGGTTCGTTGTAAATCATGTTGCATTTTTTTTGTCTCTCTCTCTGTATCTATTTTTGTACATGAGCTAAAAAGACTGTTAGGGTTCTTCATTATTAGGTTTTTTTTCTTCTTTGTTAAGTCCCCCCCTCCTCCTCTGCATTTCCCCCCATCCAGCTGAAATCATTAAAAGACACAACAAGAAGATCAACCTCGAGTGTCATGGTCGTTGTTGCAGATATGTTTCAGATCGATGGCTGCATCCATCACATGAGCGGTGCCATCAGTCTTTCCTCCGCTGCCCTCCAGCTGCCTCCTGCATCTCAGTGTGTGTCCTTGCATGTGTGTGCGTTGCAGGCGGTGGGCGAAACGAAGCAGCGAGGACAGGATGAAAGAGGTGTGACATTTAGAAAGAGGCGGGAAGCTGAAGCTCGTCGCCGTAATGCTCCATAATTGAACCAACGTTGGCACGTAGGAGTTAAACTTTTGCACAATTTTAGGTTTTACGAAACACAATTAACACCTAAAATTTTACAATAAATGCATGAATAGTCAGAACACACACTAAGAAAGTGTATATCGCTGAGGTCAAGCTAAATCGCCTTGATTTTGAAATCTTAAATCTGCACTGTAGATCAGTTTAAGCTGATTCAGCAACATAAATTTCCCTCCTTCCCTAACAATGTGACTTAACTGCACTTCAGTAGATGAATTAGTTCAAACTTAATTTAATGAAAACTCTCAGCTGTTTATTTTTTCAACTTAATATTTTAAGACCAAATGCCTTAGGTTACATTAACTTGTGTTTTTAGGCTCTAAAGTGATCTGAAGATTTAAAAAAATTATTAAAAATGCTTCATTAACAAGAACTTAGCAAAACTCATATTTTTATTAAACAAACAAGAAAATATAAGTGGATTTGATTAAAATGATGTCAAACAGCTGGAATATAAACTTGAAGGAATGAATTATGATTTTTTAATGTGGATCATGTAAATAAATATCAGAAGGATGCCCCGATCGTTTGTTTGAGCAATATTCTTCAAAATGAAAGTCTAATTATATTATTAATAATTAACAATAGGCTACAAAGTGCTTTACAATAAAACAAATGTTAAATTAGACAAATACATCAAATTCAAACAAATACTAGAACCTAAGCATGATATATGGCAAGATAAAATAATTAAGTCAAGGTTGTTTTTTGTTTTGTTTGTTTGTTTGTTTTTAGTAAATTTGCATTGGTGTACCCTCTAATAAAAATTATTATAAGTGCTGTTAGTTTTACAAGCTTAAGATGTGAAGTTGAACCAACCAGTCACATTGACAGTAATGACAATCTTGTTTTTCTTTCTCATTTTCTTCTCATGAATCGTTTCTTCTTCATTTAACACTGAGAACTTACAGCCACCAATGTTAAGTTGTTAATACAAAGACAACCTGTGAGGCTAACCCCGGTTACATTGGGATAAATTATAAGTTTGTGCATATAAATTCAGTGCTAACCTTTGTCATGGCTAGAATTAGTTTGACTATTATGAAAAGAAACGATTACAATGTAAAATGACATGTAATAAAGGCACACAGCAAGTTTCCAGCCTTTCTTCCACTGTTGTGAAACTATAAAAACTTGGAGTCTTTGGGAAGTCTGAGGTCTCTAACAACCCTGTTTATGTGCTTGTTATGCTTCCTATAAACTGTATTTAATGAGTTCAGTGAACTTATAACTGCTCATTCAATCAATTTATCCTAATAAGTTTAAACACCTCAAGCTATTAGAGCATGTTTTCATGTTCAAAGGTGATCTGAAAATTTTAAAAAATCAACATTTCAGGTGAAATTAATTAAAAGTGAGCAAAACTAGTATATTTACATGAAGCAGACTAGAAAATCTAAGTTGATTTGACTAAATTCCTTAATAATGCTGTACAGTTTCCAAACACAGGTTCCACCATCAACCTGGTCTCATCTGAGGCTCCTCCTCAGTTTTCTGATGGTCCTAAGTTGCGTAGCCTCTCCTGTGCTGCTCCCCATCGGACAGACTGACTCACAGCTTTCATGTCGAGGCTGGATGGTGCCACCTACAGCGTTCAAACAGCCTGACCTTTGTGGCAGGCGACAACACGCCCAGCGTCAGCGCTCGAGGACGGATGCCACCACCGTGTCACTCATGAGGGTCACTGGGTGCACGGATCATTCATCCGGTTTGGTGTCTGCTGTTTCTTTCAAACCAAACATTCAAAAAGCTGTGATGATCTGAGATGCAACGAAGCATCTCCAAAAGCTACAAACACCGCAGGCTGACTGCAGAGGGGAAAAAGTCTCCCTCACTGGATCACAGATGAACTCGATCACTTGAATTTCTCACTTACTTCCAAATCCTGACTTCGCCGAAATCAGCTGTTGCCTTGGTAACCTGTAGCGATGAAAGCGGCGAGGGGTTTGTTTGGCCAAAGGAGAGCAGGAGGCCGGAGCTGCTCAGGAACAAAAAGAAGCAGAGTCAGAGGTTATTGTTGCACTTAAAGACAGACTGGCTGCAAAAATCTGTGGACCAACAGGGTTTAGATGTACACCGAGCAAAAATATATATATGCAGCAAAAACATATTTTCTGACTTAGAGAAAAAGTAAAAGAAATCTGAATTCTATTGTTATATTTAGAAAAGCATGACCCCACTCCCAATTTGTCTATTATCATTTCCAGTATAGCTTGTACTTACTTCTTTCATCCTGCTGTAGAGATGCTGTGTGCTGGGTCGGAACAACAAATACTGATTCCCCTCTGTGTAAAAACAAATCATTACATGCTGTGTTTACATTTTTGCTCAGTAGATTCATGTAATATATAATAAACCTCACCAGTCACTATCAGCAACACATTCTCTGCTCCACTTTCTAAATGTACACAACAGATATGAAATTGTTCTTATATTAAAGCATGAAAGTGCTCTGAGATGCTGTATAAATAAAATAAATTTAGTTGAATAACAAGTGGCTCAGTGGTTAGCACTGTTGCCTCGTAGCAGGAAAGTTGCTGGTTCATGTCCCGGTGAGGACACCTGAGATCTTTCTGTGTGGAGTTTGCATGTTCTCCCCGTGTAACGTGGGTTCTCTCCGGGTTCTCTGGCTTTCTCCCACACAGTCCAAAAACATGTTGAGGTTAACTGGTGATTCTAAATTGTCTGTTGGTGTGAATGTGAGTGTGCTTGGTTGTCTGTCTCTAAGTGTAGCCCTGTGATAGACTGGCAACCTGTCCAGGGTGTCCCCTGCCTTCGCCCTGAGTCAGCTGGGATAGACTCCAGCCCCCCATGACCCTCATGAGGATTAAGCAGTGGATAGATAATGGATGGATGAATGTTGTAACTAGTGACTTATTTGCAGGTCAGAGAGATACTTTCTGGTGTTTTACTGATCCTTTATAGGCCACAAATAGGAACAAATGGTAGTTTCTATTTAGAGATAATTATTGGTAATCTCTTAAAAAGAAACTGTAAAGACTGGATTTTGGTTCATCAGGTTATATAGTAACCTGATGTCCCTATATATGGTCAGTCAAATAAATTTTTAATAACTAGGCAACTACTTTAATTGTCAACGCACATTGTGAACAGGAAAATACAACATGTATAGTCCTTATCTGCTAGTTAGATGTCTTTGCAGAAAAACACAATGTTAAATTTATACCTGAAATAATAGGGTCTTTTTTTTCATTCTCCAGCAGTTCAAACCTAAAGATCTGCAACATGTTTTCACATATGAGAATCTTTAACAGCTGGCATTTTAGAATTATTCTGCTAATCGTTAAGAAAAATACAAATAAGACAATAAATAATTGTGACATTAATCAATACAGGAAAAATAAAAGTGAAAATAGTTACTTTACTTGACCAATTGTTGTACCTCAGTCAACCTCTTGACCTACTGATGAGGTAAATATTGCAATAAATCTTAATATTATGGCTGATTTTGCTTGTAGTGCTACATGATGACATTAGTTAGCACATAAAGTACCGTTCACCCACCTTACAGCCACTTTGAGTCCAGTGTTTTGTTTTAAATCGGTTTGTGTGAGAATTAAAACCGAAACTGGACTCTTGCCTCTCGCTCTGCTGCGGTCACATTCCCACCAGAAGTCATGAAGAGTGGATGAATTTCACGCAAATCAAGTCTACACCTGCAGCTCTGGGTCGTGTGGGGGCGCCATCGACCCACATAAAGCTCTCCAGGCTGCAGGCTACATGACGAAGAACTGCAGAGAAAAGTTGCGCGTCTTCAGCTTGTTTTTTTTAAACCACATTCCATCACTGCGCGAAGGTTGGAAGAGGAACTTACTGCACAGTGCGCACGACTGTGAGCGCTATTTAGGCAGCAAATCACACAGCCGGTTGTGCAGAGCGGACTACATTTCCCATCAGGCCTGCTGGGAGCGCGTCGATTTTCCCTTTTCAGCGACGTTTTCTTGGTTTGCAGCTGGATCAGCTGGAAGGACGCGCCACTGCGCAACACTGGACAAACCTGGAGGTGTTAATAGTGTCGTTTCTGTTCAGAGGCTGGAGTTCATGCGCAATTGTCACACAGTTATTTACAGAAATTAATTGGTTTCTACTTTTTTTTTTTTTAAGAAAAAACTTTTAGGATCTACTGTGCGCAAAAACTGCGGCAAAGTTAGTCGGATAACACACTAAGACATCTGACAGGCAGCAGGGAACGTGCTGCAGCTGACTGAGCTCAGCAGCATCGGTTGGACGGAGCCGCCGGTGCCAACGCCTTTCCCTCCTCTCTCTCACCGCCGGCTGGGAAACTTCAGCTCACGCTGAACCGACAGCAGTTGGACGGTGTTTCCCTTCAACAGATGAGCACCTGAAACCCGCAGTTTTGACTCTAAGAAGTTGTTTGAGATCCCCCCCTCCCTCCCAAAAAAATGGGCTGCACGATCAGCGCTGAGGACAAAGCTGCGGTGGAGAGGAGTAAAATGATTGATAAGAACCTGCGAGAAGACAGAGAGAAGTCCTCCAGGGAGGTGAAGCTGCTTCTGCTCGGTAGGAACCACGTTTACTGGCTCTTTTTTTTTTTTTTTTTTAAACCAACTGTGCCATAACAAGTCTGTGTGCTTACTTTGAATTTCCACTCTGTCACTAGTTTGACTCCTAACACTCCTCCTTCTGCTGCTGGTTTAAAGCAGCTGTGGTTCATCATTTCCTGCTGTGACACAACTTGCAGAAGTAAACCAGACTTTTGGTAGTGAGATGGAAACTGCAGGTCCTGAACTGTTCTGGTTGGTTTTCAGCGTTAGACCGTTGAAGTGTAGGGAGTCTGAGCTCAGAAGTTTGTTGACAACTGTTGTCACTTGCCTCTGTGCACGTTGTAACTCATGCAGGCCTGTTTTACTTCAGAGCCTGCAAACCATCAGCTGCAGGGCAAAGCTGAACCTGGTCCCACTGCTCTGGGTCAGCAGTGTTCAGGACAGAAGCACCAAAACGGACCAGAAAATGGTTGTATTTGTATTGTACCTGAATGCATTCATATTTGCTGTTGCTTTTTTTGTAAACTGCGAAACTTAATTTTACAAAGAAAGATAGGAATACAAAATAATTTGGCCCATATTTAAGTGTGACGATATGACATGGTGACTATATCTTTTATTATTATTGAATAATCTGTTGATTGCTTCCTACATTCATCTTTTAGTCTGTCAGGTGTCAGAAAATAAATAGAATAGAATCCACTAGATATACTTTATTCATCCCCAAGGGGAATTTTGGTTGTTACAGCACAAAGAGTGAAGTTACCATCACCATAAATACTAATAAATAAGCAATAAGAAAATATAAAATTCAAAATGCACAATAAGTGTAACAATCTAAAAAAAACAATCTCAAAACTCAAAAGTGTTCTGCTGTGTTTCCCATCAAGTAGGACAAAGGAAAATATCAAAAACAAAAGTGAGAAGCTGAAATACGTCGGCTAATATTTGAATATCCCGGCTTGAAAAATGACTTTTTGTTGTGCTTTGTGGTTGTCGTAAATGTTTCAGCTGAGGAACCGATCGTCGTTTAGCTCCAACCTTTTATAATCCTGACCCCTAAACGTCTGTTGCTTCCAAGTGAACCAGTCAGGATGGGCAGCTGCCTCACAATCCACCAGGTTTGTTTACTTCCTAGAGCTGCTTGTAACATGTTTATCTACAAGCAAATCACATCAAATGTTCTGCTGTTGGCTGCAGGAGTGAACACAGGCGTCTTCATGCACTCCCAGCATCTGAGGAACTGAAGACCCAGTGGATTACTGTTATTGCTGATAGCAGGGTCACCTCAACAATAGGAAAATCCTCAGTGTGGTGAATGTTATTGGTAGCTATTGGGTCGTATGCTCACAGGTCAGAACTGTGTGGAAACTGTGCCGCTGAGGGACGCCACTCTGTAGTGGAAACTCTAAGACTGATGAGAAACCAGTAAACAAGCACTGGTTGTGGGTTACTGTGTTTCCAGGGAAACATAAACACAGCTCTGTCGCTCCTTAACATCAGCTCTTTTATGCTCTCTGTACTCACATAAACTGCATTTAATACAGCTGAATTCCAGAAAACATTGTTCTTATTTACTTATTTTCTGTTCCTGTTGTCAAACAACAGAACAAGTATAAAATACTGACTTAAATACAGCCTATTGAGAGCAAATGGTTTTTATAACCACATCGTCTGATAAACCCACAGTACACGTGAGTGAAAAACAAAAGCTGTTCTGTGAATTTGATGTATCTGTGGCTAATGATCACTCAGGAAGTTAGATGTCTCACACATGATCACGTCTGTGGTGGCTGTTGTGTGTTAAACTGTTTTTCTCTGCGCTGTCAACCACAGACAGAGCGTCTTCTTCCTGAAGTGGGCGGAGTCATGTAAAGTTGCAGACACTGAAACAGCCTGTTTAGAACTGAGCTGGAGTCAGTGACTTTACAGTCATAATCATAATAATAATGATGATAACAACAAAACATAATACTTCTATAGCGCTTTTCAAGACATTCAAAGACACATAAACCTTCTTTGCAGAATATTGAGCGGAAACATTGAAAGACACGTTGTGAGACCTGAAGTTTAAAAGCTGCACGATATGGTACTATAAATAGTGAATCAATATGATAAAATAAATTCCACTTGATTTGATTTCACTTGATTTACTAATCGATTAATCAAGTAACTGTGTACACTCTATTGATTTTCATTATTTTTACTTTTGCTCGGCTCTTTCTGCAGTAATTTAATTAACTTGTTTTGTAGTTTGTTTGCCTCGAGGTAAAGCAGTTGTTCTACCAAATATATGAGTCATGATCAGGTGTGTGGCACAAGTGAACACCAAAGTTGTGTCAGATCTCTTTTACACTAGATTTCAGTATCATGTTATTGTCTGTAACGGCCCAGCCTGCTTGCACTTTGACACTCTCTCAGCGGTTCTGTCACTGTGGGTGTGGACTGCACAGACGTGCCAGAGGGATTAAATTCACCCAGTAAAGCTGCACTCAACATTTTTATGCTGCCTGTCGTTCTCTGCAAACGTCCCTCATTAAGTAAATGGAAGAGTAGCATTGTCTAGATGTAGTAATATTTGCTATCAGTTAAACTGCCAGTTATTTTTGTACTGTATATAAATAATTTTCCAGAATGTTCACATCAGTTATCAGTCCACAAGGTCTCACAGGACCCATTCTGTTACATGCTGATGTAGCCTCAAGTCTGTGTGAAAAAACGTTTTTATTTACTAAAATAAAAAGAAAACTAGACTTCTAGGGGGGAAAAAACAGAGTAACAAAAATACACAGAAAATGTCTTTTGTTGCAGTCAATGAGAGGCTTGAGGAGGCTTTAATACAAATGTTAATTAAGACTGAGAATCACAAAGTTTTTATTGTCATACCACAGACTGTGTGTAAAAAATATCCTTAGAGACTATGAAATCACCGTCTGCGTTGTGAACCTCTGTTTTGAAGTCAAACACGTTTCTGGTGGGTGTTGGACTCCGCCAGCGTTGCCCCTTGGCTACAATTTGTAGTCATACAAGTTTGTGATTGATGTGTGTTCAAGGATGGGACCTCAAGGTGCAGCCGGGGTGAGGAGGGCGTCTGATTTGGGAAACTCAGAGTCAAGTCCCTGCTTTTTGCAGAATACATGGTTCTGTTAATCAGGCTGTGACTTGGTTTGCAGTCGAGTGTGCAGTTATTGACAATCAGTACCTCCAAGTATGAGGACATGATTCTCTGCAGTAAACCGGTGGATTGTTCCCTCTGGGCTGGAGGTGAGTTGATGCCTGACAGGATCTGACTGGGAGCTTAATCCTGTTCAGGACTTTCATGTTGCCATACGTAGAAGGTCTTTCGGGGTCCATTGGACCCCAAGAAAGAATATACAAAATATTTGTTGGTATTAATTATAGACTTGTACTATGTTAAATACATTTTCTGATAAGTTGACATATCTTTGGTTCCAAATGCTTGACAAATGTCCCTCTTTTTATATTTAAAAATAAAATGTCACCCTGTCACCTGTCACCCAAACCAAATGACCTGGAGTCCAAAAAAACCCCAAAGTCCTGAATAGGGTTAAATGTACTGCATACAGTGATGTGATAGCGACCCACCCTAAAACATACCCACCTTTGTCAATTGTTTTACTGTACACAGGATCATAATTTACTAAATAAACATCATGCGGAATTGAAAGAGACTTGAAACTATCAACTGAGACAATAAACTGATCTGGAAGATGTTTTCTGAGATAGCAAATGAAGTGAGAAGTTTGATCATTTTCTCATAGACTTGTATGTAATCCGACTTATTGTGCAACCAGAGGAGTCGCGTCCTGCTGGCTGTTGGAAAGGATGCAGGTCACATCTGCGTTTGCTTCACTTTTCAATCCACCCCTTTTAATACTGATTATTTACAGTCTGTGTATAATACCTATTCTGATATTATAAAATCTGGCTCTTGACAAAAACTTCCCATATTATAAGAAAAAAAACTAAATCTATACTGAAATTCATTTTTAAAAAAACCTAAAACGTGTTTAACAATCAAAACCAAAATAAACCTCGCTAACCCACTCTTGAACTGAACTGAAACTCACCTGAAGTGAAAACAAAACAAAAAAACTAAATGAAAACTATTGAGCAATACAAAAACTACAGCAGCTCTTATTTCTATGAGAAGTGAAACCACTCCTTTATCAGCAGCTCCAGTGATCTGGACAAAACACCAAGCCAGACGTCTGCTTCTCTGTTCATGCTTTGGAGTTTCCTAAAAATAATATCATTACAAACACTGTCATTCTGTACACTGTGCATGTTATTCATCCATGTTTTAGTGATCATAAAAGTGACACTGAAGACTAATCACTGTCTGTTGCACTACAATAAATGGAACTGTTGTGCCCCCTGATCACAAGAACATTTATACTCATTGCAGCTCTCCTTACTCAACCCTAAAATATTCAGCAGCTGAAAAAAATCTTTAAATCTGCCTTAGTTGTGTTAGTATTTTCATTTTCACAAACAGCTGCTTATTGAAACCCTGAGCAGTTATGGGAAAAGAAACATCAGTTAATTTGTCATGTTTTTGGCAAACTGGCAAATTTAAATCCAATATTTGCCCTCATTTAGCTCTGTTTTTGCTCTTCAATACTTCCAGAGGTTCAAATCTGGTTCTTTAGCTGCTTAAGGCTCCACAATGTTCACTAGACAGCTCTGTCAGTCGGTGGTTTACACTAGGTAATTTGTTTGAGCCTTTTCACTATAAACAGCTGCAAAATAGAGGGATGAGTGAAATCAAAGTAGAAAAGTTATGGGTCTTAAAACCAAAGCAATTAGCTGAGAGATGCTAAAATGCAGAGTTTGGTGGTTCGTTGTAAGTGAGCTTAATTAATGAAGCACCTTTCAAGAGCAGAAAGTGTTTCATAATAAAAAGAAATGGTAGACGGAGCAACAGACATTAAATTGCAGACAGCCACGTAGAAATATGAGGCAAGACGGGACAAAACCAAACAAAAGCAAGTT